CCCCAAAACCCCAAAACCCCAAAACCCCTTAAAGTAATATAGTTTAAATAATAATCACAAAAGAATAAAAAAAATTATAATTGATTAATAAATAAATATGAATTCACCTGCATATCTCTTGGGAAAAATAACCCAGAAAGTTAATTACAACTTTGGCAGAGTCTTTAAGGAAGCAGGTCTCGCCATGGATAGATTTGGAAGCAGACTTTAAAATGACATCGCCTATTCACAAGATCTCTCAAGACACAGACAACTAATGCCAATTCAGGACCTAGCTCCTGTTGTTGATAATGCTTGGATCGCTCCAAATGCTTCCCTCGTAGGCGAAGTTATGGTCAGCAAGTGGGCCACCATTTGGTACAACGTCGTTATCAGAGCTGAGCTCAACGCTGTGAGAATCGGTCATTTCTCCTCAATAGGTGATGGCACTGTCATTAACTCAGCTTCTTCTCTACCAGCAGGTGTTGCTTCATCTGTTAACATTGGCAAGAATGTCACTATTGAGCCAAACTGCAGCATCTACTCTTGTATTATTGATGATGACTGCGTGATTGGGCAAGGTTCAGTCATAATGCCAGGAGCTAGACTCGAGAGAGGCTGCCATGTTCTTCCAAATTCAGTTGTGACTCCAGGTAAACTCATCCCAGCAGGCTAAATCTGGGGCGGCAACCCAGTCAGGTTCGTTAGAAACCTAACTCAAGAAGAGCAAGTGCAGAACTATGCTAAGAGCTACACTAACACTGCAGCTGAATTCCAATCAGAGACTCTTTACCCACATGCCTATGAACAAGGGGATTTAAAAGAAGGAGAGCATTCACTATAGGACTATGTTAATTCAAGATATTTCAAAAATTTAGAAAAATGAATCACTCTGTGATGATCATAGCCTCGATGCTTATAGTGAGTTCTAATAACAAAATCCTGAGATAAATGAGCAGTAGCATAGATGGTCAGTTGACTTGCAAAGTTAATTTATCATCTATCATTCTCATTAATATTTAAACATTCAATTCTACCTTGATCTGCATATTTTAACTATTTGGGGTTTTGGGGTTTTGGGG